AAAATGAAAATCAGACTCCTGTCGTTCTAGCATTGAAAATCATCTCCCCCAGAGCTGCTCTTTCTCCCACGTAAACTTTCTCAGGAAATTGATAGGTGGGTCCTGCACACCAGCTGCTAAGCCCAAGATCAGAAGCAACATGGCAGAGGGAAGGGCTAGAAAGGTCTGAATTGGAGGCACAGGATCATGGGGCCTGGCTGCTGCAGGAGAAAGGCACCCCTCAGTTCTAGGGAGCAAAGAGTAGCCACACAGACACCTGCGGACACCCCAACCATGCAGTCTTTCCCGTCCACCAGCTCATTTTATGTGCAACTCCTCTTGTGAGCCCCAAACGGGGTAGCGATGCCCAGTGTTAAGGGGCATATGAGTCAAACAGGCTTTGGTAGCTGTGTGATCTCAGGTAAGCTGTTTAACCTCTCCAAACTTATGTTCTCACCTGTAAAATGAAGATAATACAATCTACCTGAAAAGATTAATGTCAGGAATGAGATAAGGCATGTAAGCAATTAACAAAAGAAAACACCACCTCTCCACAACAAAATATAACCCCAGCCGTCAGGTAGATTGACTCATGGCAAATATCCGTCGAGTTTCTGAGACTGTAAATCTTAAAGTGAGGAAACTGTCTCTCTTTCTCCCACGGAGCAGATGGTGACTTGGAACTGCTGCCTGTTTGCTTAGCAGCCAGGCATACAACACCTTATGCCACCGGGCTTGTTAGCATTTAGCATGTTGTCGTGTACCGTCGAGTCAGAACTGGTATGTGGCTGGCTCTCTATCAGGTTTTCAGAGGCAACAAATTGCACAGAAGGAGAGACTGCACAGCCTTCTTCCAAAGAGCACCTGGTGGATTTGAACTGCATGCCTTTGGGTTAGCTGCACAATTCCTTACCACCAAACCACCAGCAATAAATAAATGCTTGCTATGCTTATGACTGTGGTCAATGGACACCGCTCCAACTTAATACTAGATTCTCCAATGTTCAAGCAAGCACTGACCTGGGAGTGGAGATGTGAGAGTGAGTCCCCAAACACTGAGCTCTGTTTGCTCTTCAATTCCTCTCCAGAAAATTAAGTCAATGATCTGTGCTACTGCTGCTATGACATAAAACAAACAAAGAAAAATCAAAACCAAAACACCACAAAAATCACTGAGCTGAGTTACCAATCAGAGCAAGAGTGTGCACATGAATGACCCAGCGGTGGGGAGCTTGAGAAAGAAACTTGGATTTTATTGGTCAGGGCTGCAACTTAGCTGTCAATTACTTTTAAATCTTTCCAGCTATTTAAATGTTCATTCACATCTAAGAGCCATTATTCTAACCTGTAAGGAGTCCTGGTGATTTTGTGTGTGATGTGTCTTTATCATAAGGCTTCTGGTCCTCATTCACCAGGTGCTCAGAGGGAGTAAAGGACACTCTCCTCCCGTAAGGATCGCAGCCTTGGAAACGTGATGGAGGATGGCCGTGAGTTAGAATGCACTTGGCAACAGTGGGTTCGGTTTCATCCCAAGGGGTGAGAGTCCCTGGGTGATACAAATGGTTAACAGGCCTGTGATAACAAGCCAGGGGCAGCTCAGAAGAAAGGCCTGGCGATCTACTTAAATCAGCCATCGTCAGGGAGCACAGTTCTGCTTTGACACATGGGATCATCACGGGGTGACATGACAGAATGGCAACTAGGAATCGGAGCTGACAGAAAGCAACTGGCTGGACACTATGGAAGGTTAACTAGTGAGATGGGAGAGGACAGGACCAGTAAGACCAGTTCCCTGTAAGGTTTTGAGTTTTAACAAGGACAGACCACATTTGTCTGGCACAGATCATGCAGCTGCCAGGTAGAGAGAATGCAGGGAGGAAATTGGATGGGGACACTCTAAGATGGCTAGAGAAATCAAGGCAAGATAGAACATGGAATTATCACAGGGGAAGAGGCTGGTGACCAGGGATATGTGAGGCGAACAGGGAGTCAGGGGAGGAAGCCAGAGTGACTGGAGCATTCAGGAAGTCTCTAATGGTGACACCAAAACCTAAGAGAAGGAAAGTAGGTAAGTTTGTGCTACAGGGTAGGATCAAGGCCTCTGGAGGAGTAAATTCCTGTTCCACTTGAAGACCACAACTGGGTTGGTAAAGTCTTATACACATCCTACAGACTAGATTTTCCCAAGGAGTCAGAGATGACAAAGCTTCAGCTCATATACTCAGGCATGTTGTTAGGAGAGGTTATTCACTGGAGAGGGACATGACGTGTGGGAAGATGGAAGGACAGTGAAAGAGAGGACGACCTTCAACCAGGTGGGTTGACACGGTAACTGTGGCAAGGGGATTGAGCGTGTGCATGACTGTGAGAATGGCACAGAACAGGACAGGGTTCAGATCTGTTGTTCACAGAGCTGCGATGAGTTGCATTCATCTCAATGGCACCTAACAACAAGAACAGATTCTCTCCCCTTTGCTGATCATTCCATCTTTCCAAGCATGATTTCCCTTTCCAAGTAAGACTCTCAACGAGATTGACTGTACCGTGCTTATGGCAATGGACTTGAATGAGTCGAGGATGTTAAGGGTGGTGGAGGTTAGGAGAGTGTTCAGATATTGTTCACAGGTCTCCATGAGTCACACTTGACTAGATAGCACTTAACAACAGCAATGTATTTCTATGGCACCCGGCGTACATGCTCTCAATTATTGGAAAGTGTGATTCATTTGATACAATCGGGAAGATTTATATTAGAAATATATATATATCTGCTGCGACTAGGCCGAATCTGATTCTTCTTATTGTTACATACTATCGAGTTCACTGTCACTCACGGCGACCCTGTGAACAACAGAATGGATCTGAACCCTGCCCTAGCTTGTGCCATCCCCACATCTCAGATACACCTGAGCCCAGTGTGACAGTCACCATGTCAATCCATCTTGTTGAGGGTCTTCCTCTCATAGGCAACCCTGATGACAGAGGAAAACTGCCTCCCTGGATTTTCAAGGTTGTGAATCTTTGTGGAAGCGACTGCCACATCCGTCTCTCGTGGACTGGCTGATGGTCTCAAACCACCAACTTTCCAGTCAGTAGCCAACTGCTTACCCACTATACAACCAGGGCTCCGAAGATGAGGCAAAAGGTTTTGATTTAATGAAAAGAAGTGGTGTAAGAGGGTGCTGGGGTAGAAGCTGGACAGGGTGGTGTGCCCAGAATTTGTCCCCCTTCCTTCGCAGTTCAAGAACGTGTCAACCCCGGCCCTGACGCTGCAGGGTCAACCCAACATAAAATGCCCACAGATAACAATGAGAAGCTGGGGATAGATGGGTGGGGCGCCCCACGAGAGAAAACACAACAACCCGGAAATGTTAACACAGCTGTGAAAGGGACACACGTGAGCAGAGTTGCAAGCAGCTCCATTTATTTGAGTAAATAGCTTGTAAAGAAATCATCAGTAAACATTACAAAATTAAATACATTTTCAAAAGCTTGCCAGTATACGTAAAATTCACAAACAGAGTTCTTTTTAAAAAATAAAATATGTTCAGAGCACCCTTGATATAAAATGCCTGACCCCTGTAGGCTATGACAAGGCCATGTGGGGACACGCCCCATGAGGCGGGGTTCCAATGGGGAGGCATGGGGCCTCCTGGAGGGACCAAGGAATCTCCAGTCTTCTCGTTCAACCCATCCATATCCCTTCTGAGTTTGAATCCTTCTCCAAGGAGCTGGGATGTAGCTGGGAGTAGGAGGGGAGATGCCTTGACTTAATTTCAGGCAAGGAGAAGATAGAGTGTAACTAGGGTGTGTGAAGCCTGATGTAGTCTGATGGAGCCTCTAGGATCCCCCTTCATCCCACTGAGAGGAGCCAGGATGCAAGCTCAAGCAAATGCCCTGGTTACCAATCATCTTAACAGTCAGCCAGGCCTTCTTGACTGGGGGTGAGGAAGGGGTGCTCAGTGCACCCTAAATTCACCCCCACCCCCCCATTCCAACAGTGCATCCTCTTCTGGTCTGATGCTGCCCAGAGACACAGAAGCAACCAGAAATCACCTTCTAAGAGCAAAGTTCTTTATCTACCTGCTTCCTTTCGGCCTGCCTTCATGAAGGGAGGACATAAAGCATTTGGAGGAAGGCAAAGAATTTGATGCTAGACAGCACTTCCTTCTTTTTTTTTTTTCTTACTGCAAAACACCACTCAGAGACTGTGGGATTTCTCAAGAAATCCAGTCTGTTCTTCAAATTAAGGGACCATCAATGTTTAAAAGACCACAAATGAGGCAATGAGGACATGACCTGGCAAAGCATTCCTATCAATGAAATAATATGTGACGTTTGTGAATTCAGCCCTTGACCAACTCAAGCTTTTTGTTGTGTAGCTCGTCAAAATAACAAATACACTGCATATTTATTTTTCTCACTTTGGCGCATCAAGTGACTTTTGAAGGTCAACAGCACTCACACAGAATGCCTCGTGACCTCCCCAAAATATGGGTGCTGGGACCTTCCAGGAAAGGAAAACCACTGTTTATTCTATCAAAGTGAAATAAAACCCACATCTACAGTTTAACTTAGGTGTATGTCAATATATACAAGTACAAGAAATTTGATATCAGAGACAAAGGTACAACGTAAGAAAAAAAAACAGTATTACCAAACTAGTTTAAGAAAACCCATTTTCCCTGTATAGTTAAGGTCCTAAAAATCTGGTTCTTCACAGAAAAGTGCTGCTTGGTATAGCTCATCCCGACGCCCACTCGCTTTAAAAATCCTCAGCTGGGCTGCAGCCAGACTTGTGATATCTTTGCTATTAAAAAATACTACACTAACAAAAACCTTTAGAAACAGGAAAGGAACACTCTTGAATAAATGTCTGATACAATCTTTCCCCCACCCTAAAAAAAAAAAAAAGATTGTTCATAAGAACATCTATTCTTTGATAAATGTCATCTTGTGATCCACATCCCAGGATCTAGGACCTTTCTTCATCTCCAGCGAAGTTCCACCCTGGATTCGAATCATACACTTTTCTTCTGTGGAGGGCTCAGTTTCCTCATGCCTCTTATCCTGGACAGCAGCTCTTTGATAAATTCCTGGAAGAGATCAGAAGAGGTTGAATGTGTGTGTCGGGGGGGGGGGGGGCGGGGTAAAGTCACACGTTTTAAAAAGTCTGGTTATGCTGAGTGAAATATTTCAGTCACAAAAGGACAAATATTGCATAGGGCCACTGTTGTAAAACAGGACTGACATTAGGGTTGGGGGAAGACAGAAAAGGAAGGGAGGAATAATGTATATTGCATTGAAACAGATGAGGAAGAGATCGGTTTGGAAGGGATATATGAATGTGTATTCTTGTCATTACAAAGTCCAGAGTGAAGGCTGCATAGTGAAGTGGACTTGGGGGGAGGGACTGTAGAATAATAAGAGAGTTTTCTTTTTCCTTTCAAGGAGAAGAGTGATTTAGGGGGAGAAGGGGTGGGCAGGGAGAAAAGTGCAACAATGAATGACTGGAAACCCCAAGTCTCTATTTTTTTAAAAAAAGCCCGGTCATAGCCATCAACTGCAGGTACCTGTAGCAGGTGACTTTGGTTGAATGCACTAAATCAACTGAAACAATATGGAAGTTTTTTGGTTTTGGTTCATTGTTTTCCTTTTTATAAAAAAGCAAATAAAGAAGACTTCACACCCAAATTCTTTTCCCTGATGTACACTCATTAGGTCACTGAATTTTGCACAATCAATGACTTATTTATAGCAAATATGTTTTTTAAGAGACATAAACACAGGTTGTATACATGGATTTCACCTGATGGTGTGCATAGGAATCAGATAGATTACATCTGTGGAAAGAACCAATGGAGAAGCTCAATATCAGCTGTGAAAACTAGGCCAGGAGCTGATTGTGGAACAGACTCATATGCAAGTTCAAGCTGAAGCTGAGGAAAATT